TCTCGCAGCATCCGCATCTTCTTCTCCGCACCTTCTCGCGGCGCTCACTCTCTTCGCCCTCAATCTTCCAAGGTCGCCCCATGCCCCTCACCGGACACCAGAATCGAGCGCCCTCTGCCCGGATGGACCCTTGGTTACATCAGATTTGAAGCCCCTAACTGCTTCCTCCTTGAGTCATTCGGGCACCAAACAGCTACCTCGCGGGTGGCACGAATGGCCGAGACGGCAACCTCGCGACCCACGCGGACGGCCAAGATAGTCGAGACCGGGGCGACATCGTGTGTGGCTTGCACGGATAACTGAGACCTGAGGTGGCGAGCTGATGGACTGCACGGCCGGCCGCCCGGCGAGCTCCAAGGCGCATGGAGTTGCTGGTGCGATGAGCAACCGGCGAGCTCCCCATGGCGCAAGGCTGTTGCCAACCCCAAGCACAGCTCCTCGCCATGGTCACGGCTGCCACAGGTACGAGAGGCAAGGGAGGGAGCACGAGGAGAGAGAAAAATTATTTGTTTATTCCTTATGGCTAATCCATACAACTATGGATAGTTATGGACTACCTTCATAATGTTGCAGCTAGGTGATAGATACTATTTTAATGCATATGGACTACTTTTCTGCAATATTGTGGCTGCTCTTACTGGTACTAGTAGAGATACAATGACACAGATGCGGCACCCGAGGTCCGAGCCTAGGACACTAGCTAGGTACAATACTATTTTCCAGCGCCGATCTTGCGAGACGCACCACCAGGCCGAGGAGCCTTGGCGTCGTTGCTGGCGAAGGCAACAGCGGGCGACGGGGACGGGGTGACCGCGTCCACGGCCATCCCAGGGCTGGCAACGCAGCACCGAATGCCGTCGCAGCAGTCGAAGCGGCAGCAAGGGGTCGGCAGGACCTGGCCCTCAGCCGCGCCGAGCACTAGGAGCGCCATCGCGAGGGCGGCGACGATCTTGCAGCACATGGCGCGTGGGATCGTCTGGTGGCTGCCTTCCTTTAGTTGGTTGTAGTTTTGCGAGACGGGACCCGTCAACCGGCTGCTTTTCTAGATGCGTGTGGTGTGTTCCGTTCTTGGGCACTCCTATTTGTAGGCTGCGAGGGGTTCAGGATGTGCACTGCAGGCCAAATGACTGGGTGTGGTGAGGGTAATGCAGAAAAAACTCGTGGCCTCGTGATCGAGGCCAGCAATGAACAACTGCCATATCTCTCTTGGCAGGTAAAATCTGAAATTAAATGTTGTCATATATATCATCTCCCTTGCTGGCTCGTAGTATCTGAAATTAACAACTGCCATATTGGTCGCTAAAACTTATACTATACTGCATCTATCCTGTAATATAGTGCATTCTAGCATTCAAAATTTATCCTCAAATATAATGCATTCTATAGGACAAAAATCAATTTTGTATTAAATACTTTCTATTTATCATCCAATCACCATTAATCATGTTGATGATAAGATTAGGAAATAAAATGAGGATACATGCGTCTTTTATGATCTCTCTTAATTTGTCTTAAAATTTTTAGAATACACTATATTATAGGATGGAGAGAGTCCTAACAAAACACACCACACCAAGTTTACTTGAACGAGGCCAGTAATGAACAGCTGCCGTATCTCATTTGGTAGGTAAAATCTGAAATTAAATGTTGTCATATATCGTCTCCTTTGCTGGCTCGTGATATCTAAAATTAACAACTACCACATTGATAGCTAAAACTTATACTATACTCCGTACTAACAAAACACACCACACCAAGTTTACTCGTGGCCTCGAGATCGAGGCCAGCAATGAACAACTATCGTATCTCTCTTGGCAGGTAAAATCTGAAATTAAATTTGTCATATATATCACCATGGCTCGTGATATCTGGAATTAACGGCTGCCATATTGCTACTTGAAACTTACTATACTAACAAAACACACCAGGTTCATATTGTAGCCATATAGGACATGTCTGGTTTCCTGGCTATCCCCTATCCAGGCTCCATTAAGCCAATTTGAGGCCTCTTAACCAGGTCCCAGAAGGCCACTGACAGGCACTTAGCCTGGCTACGTGGAAACGAAGCGAGCGAGCGTTCTCGCTAAGCTAGGCTGCGTCTAGCTTTTGGGAAGACATGAATTTGTCGGGGCATGTATATGGTTGAATTATTCATAGCAGGTCCGAAAGCTTTTGGGATGCGAAAGCTTTACTGCTGTAGTTGTTGTGAATAAGTGCTCTGTTCGCTTGATCGATAAGCCATAGCTGAAAGTACTGTTGGCTGATTTGTTGTGAGAGAAAAATAATATTCGTTGGCTGAAAAAGTATGGCTTATAAGTCAAGCGAACAGGGCGAAGATCAATGTGTAACAATCAAACTTATTGCTACATTGTGCTGAATTATCAGATAATGATTCTTAGTAACACGTTTCGCTACAAATGGTTATGTGTTTATTGATTTATGGTATTTGATGAGAGCTACGAGTATAATGCTGCCCTACTAGTGATTATTTTGTGTTTGATAATTGATATCTGCTCTTACTAGAATTTAGATTGTTCTTTCCAACGTCTTTGTGGATTTTGCTTGAATTCCCATGCTAGGAGGCTCGCGAACGACAGCGGACTCAACATAGCGCATCGATTAGATTCCTTGTATCTAACTTGTTTACTCGGATTCAAAGTGCCTATTTTTTCTTTACTTAGAATTTATTTTAGAAAAAACAGAGCTATTCGTTCATTTAGGTGATGTCCATCAACAACAAGGCAAAAAGGTCTATACACTGCCTCTATCAATCTCAAATTCTACTATCTCAATCCTCAGTGCACGGATATACACAACCTCTATTAATCTCAAAATCTACTAGCTCAATCTCTTAGGGTGCATATAACGAAAAAGTGTATATCTGTGTGTTCATATAAGTAGTGTGTGTATGTATAGGAGCGTCTGCATGTAAATACTAAGGAAAATAAATTGCATTGTGATAGTCTTTTTGTTGTGTTATTTAGTGTTTCTATTTGTGGGTGAGGAAAGTTCATTCTCCATCAATTAGGACTAGTAAATAATGAAATTAGTGAAGGGAAATCAACGTCCTTGCAGGGGTCCAAAGGTGTGGTCCAAGAGAGGAAGGAGTGAATTGAGTCACTATTTTTTTGTAACCTAAGGATAAAAACTTGATTCTAAACTAGATAAACAAAACAATAATCTAGTAATATATGCACCTTTGTGTTTATCTAGTGCCTCCACTTGTTGTATACCAAACAAGAATTTTGCAATCTATAACTAATTATATCAAGTAGCCTAAGATATCCAGTAAAGGCACACGCAAGCAGAAGTGTAAATGTTATAAGTAAAACAAAAAAGCAAGAAAGGCAAACTTCTAAGATGCGGCTATGTATCCCGTGGTGCCGATTGCCAAATGTAACCCCTATTTATAGTTCCACTGAAGTATGCCTTTGGTCATGGTGTTAGACTATGGTGTTGGGCTCACTATAAAGGCCCCTGCCAACCAAGACAACAATGGCAAGCCACTTAGGCTCACCGCTTGATACCCGACTCTCACGTCTACTACGAAATTTCTCTACCAAACAGGGGTTCTCCTCATCCCCAAATACTAAGTCACTGTTACTCCAAACCAAGCTTGGAGGGTCATCGACGTTGCAAGGAGCCACCAAGGTTCCAAGGCTCCGTCACACCAAGATTGCAAGTGTAGTCAGGCCAACTATCTAGCTCTCACAAGCTAATGCCTAATCAGTCACTCGGAGTCTACTAAATACAACTACAAGCCTCGGATATGATCGCTATTCACTAAGCTCTCATGAGGTGAACAGAGTATCACAACCTAAATAACCAACGGTAAGGGTTATATATAGCTCATATTTAGGAAATTTGAGCAGGTGTATCTTTTAAAAGTTACGTGTTACGATGCAAAACACATATTTCTGGAACCCTTTATTTAAGCTGGAACAATAATTTTTGAAGCCAGAACATTTATTTAAGTAACTTCTATACGCTCGATTGTTTCCAAAAGTTCCTTTGAAGTTCTTCCACACTAAACATGCAGATGCAGATGGTTAAATTTGAGTATACTGGCAGTACATCTGTGGATGGAACCGTCGTACGTAACAACTCCCAGCAAGATAGGCAGTAGCTTACGTAGTAGACACACAGTAACAAAGCTAACAACTAATAGGACAAGAATGGATAAGCCTTGCAAGTTGCAAACACCACACGAGAACGGCATAGCCTACGTAGTACACACACACAGTGACACAGATGCAGCACCCAACGCTCGCGCTTCTTCTCCCCTCCGTCTCTCAGCATCCGCATCTTCTTCTCTGCTCCTTCTCGCGGCGCTCGCTCTCTTCACCCTCAATCTTCCAAGGTCGCCCCATGCCCCTCACCGGACAGCAGAATCGAGCGCCCTCTGCACGGATGGACCCTTGGTTACATCAGATTTGAAGCCCCTAACTGCTTCCTCCTTGAGTCCTCCGGGCACCAAACAGCTACCTCGCGGGCGGCACGAACGGCCGAGACGGCGACCTCGTGACCCACGCGGAAGGCCAAGATAGTCAAGACCGGGGCGACATCGTGTGTGGCTTGCACGGATAACTGAGGCCTGAGGTGGTGAGCTAATGGACTGCACGGCCGGCCGCCCGGTGAGCTCCAAGGCGCATGGAGTTGCTGGTGCGATGAGCAACCGGCGAGCTCCCCATGGCGCAAGGCTGTCGCCGACCCCAAGCACAGCTCCTCGCCATGGTCACGGTTGCCACATGTGCGAGAGGCAAGGGAGGGAGAACGAGGAGAGAGAAAAATTATTTGTTTATTCCTTATGGCTAATCCATACAACTATGGATAGTTATGGACTACCTTCATAATGTTGCAGCTAGGTGATAGATACTATTTTAATGCATATGGACTACTTTTCTGCAATATTGTGGCTGCTCTTACTGGTACTAGTAGAGATACAATGACACAGATGCGGCACCCGAGGTCCGAGCCTAGGACACTAGCTAGGTACAATACTATTTTCCAGCGCCGATCTTGCGAGACGCACCACCAGGCCGAGGAGCCTTGGCGTCGTTGCTGGCGAAGGCAACAGCGGGCGACGGGGACGGGGTGACCGCGTCCACGGCCATCCCAGGGCTGGCAACGCAGCACCGAATGCCGTCGCAGCAGTCGAAGCGGCAGCAGGGGGTCGGCAGGACCTGGCCCTCAGCCGCGCCGATTACCAGGAGCGCCATCGCGAGGACGGCGACGATCTTGCAGCACATGGCACGTGGGATCGTCTGGTGGCTGCCTTCCTTTAGTTGGTTGCAATTTTGCGAGACGGGGCCCGTCAACCGGCTGCTTTTCTAGATGCGCGTGGTGTGTTCCGTTCTTGGGCACTCCTATTTGTAGGCTGCGTGGGGTTCAGGATGTGCACTGCAGGCCAAATGACTGGGTGTGGCGAGGGTAATGCAGAAAAAGCTCGTGGCCTCGTGATCGAGGCCAGCAATGAACAGCTGCCATATCTCTCTTGGCAGGTAAAATCTGAAATTAAATGTTGTCATATATATCATCTCCCTTGCTGGCTCGTAGTATCTGAAATTAACAGCTGCCATATTGTCACACCCAATTTTAAGGATAAAATTGAATGCACTAAACTCATGTGTGCCCAGGGATCAGTCACACACATAAGTTGACAAATTATAAAAAATATCATCATGGTGTATCTTACATAACGAATAATAGCATCACATTGTCTTACATAACACAGCGGAAGATAAAAAGATAACTCTCTCGTGGAACTCCATCACAGGGACGGTCGACTGGTTGACCACAAGCCTAATAATCCTCAGGAAACTCCTCATATCCGTTGTCATCTGTTACCCATCTGGGATTTTTATTCAAATATAGAAAGGAAACAAGCGTAAGTACGTCCCGTACTCAACAAGATAACATGGGGTTATGAAGCTCAAAAAGGTTGACACTGGTTTACTGCAGTTAGCACTTTTAGTAAGTCAAGATTTTATCCTCAACTATTATCAAGTTATGCTTAAGCTCCCATTTAAACCCACGTGATCATGTATCCGATCCAATTGAGTCATGTGACATCATCATAATCATCTCGTATAAACAACATTATAAGTAGCCATCTATTCTGTGAGTTTTCCGGGCCGCTCGTGACCGTGAGCACGGCTGTTATAACAGTTTGTTACCCTCTACAGAGGTGGTGCACATTCACCGCAAGTCGTGATTCCCATATGCCCGGGTTAATTACTCCCATATCACTGCCAAGGTGAGCGGGCAGGGTACACTATGAAGCCATTTCATAGGTTTCTCTAACAAGTTAGGGCCGCTAGGTTTCCTTGGCAGGCAGATGTAGGAACCCCCCTTTCCTATGGCACATATCCATCGCGGCTATACACATAGGAATAGAGGCAGTCCTATACCCAACGTGGCAAACCCCTTTTGCGCCATAAAGGTAACCTCTAACAAGCTAGAAAAGGTCCTATTATTGAGCTAAAGTCAGAGCCATATAACCCTCACGGTTGCACTATCAGTCCCAGCTTTTGCCGACAGATAAGTCCTTATGGAGGGCCGAGAGCATCATGATCGAAAGTCATTTGCTCCATCGCCCTATAATCCAGTTGTTTAAAAACAACTTTTACCTTTTCATTTCATAGAACCATCATTCATTATGTAGATCATGTTCATTTATATTGAGCACTAGCAAACTACCCATATGCATATAACCCATAGGAGACAAGGAACAGGATAATCAATCACTAGGATGTCCTTACGAGTATCAAAATTAGACACATGCAAATGAATAATTAATAAAGGTGAATAGGCATCAAGGTAGATCCCATGCTATACTTGCCTTGGTTCGCAAACTCCTGCTGGTCCTGCTGTTCGTCGAAGAATTCTTGGTCACCGACGTTCTCCTCACCGTCTGAACGCGACCAACACGGCAACATACAACATTCCAAAGGCATTCATACAAAGCAAACAATCCTATGATTAGAACAGTACACCAACAGTATATAAAACAAAATAAAATGTTTATGAAAATAATCTACATCTTGCTACGATCATGTCAGCGCGAAGTTCATGAAAAACGGAGCTATAACGCGAAACTTATGAATTAAACGACATTTCCTATAGTACTTTATTTAATTAAACCTAACCATGAAATTTAAAAGTTGCAAAATTGAGTAACAGTGGTACTAACATGTAGATTATGAAATTACAAAGCTAACGCAATTCGAACGGATCAATTCGGAGCTAAAACGAAGTTTTTATGAGCAAAACAAATTGAATGGCATTTCTATAAATACTGAAAACATATTTTGAACAAGAATAGTGCACTTTACGTTTTCAAAAACGAGAAAGCGTACTCTAGAAACTACGCTAGGGACGGCGGGTTCAAATAGGTGAAACCAGGAGGGCTCTTTAGCAAATCTACCCGCGAAGGGGTATCGGCCACTGAGAGCCGTTGGATCAAGATCGGGCGGCATGGATTAGATCTGGGGAGGGAGAAGGAAGGGGTGGCCGGCCGGAACAGTGGCAGCCGCGGCGGCTCAGCCATGAACGGCGGCGAGAGCACGCCGACGAGCTTAGTACAGGGGCTAGGGGCCACGGTTTCCCCAACCGAGAGAACCGGGGGTTAGCGGGGAAGCAGGGGATCTCGGCCAGGCCTATTCGGTGGCCGGAGGACATGGCTGGCGAGGTGGTCGCCATGGCCGGCGAGGCGAAGGTCGTCGGCGCACGCGGCTAGGGCGCTAGAGGACATGAAACGGGAAACAAACAGCATGGGGAGAGAGAGGGAATCACGGTGAAGCTCACAATGGGAGAAAACAGAGTCGACGGCGGCTCGAGAGCGGCGGTTTCGCGGAGGCGGGCGGTGGATCCAGCGCCACGATTCTTCTTGTTGTAGCCTCTCTGCTTTCGGCGAATGCAAAAAGAAGAGGCGGGGAGGCAACAGTGCGCGTGCGAGGCTCGGTTGCTATTTAACAGGCCAAGGAGCGGGGGGCGCCCACGACGCCGTCGTGGGCGACAATTCTTTGCTGGCAGTGCGGGCGTGGCGGTTCCAAAGCCATGCGGGATGAAAACAGCGCCGACAAGCGGGGCCAGGCGTTAGCGGCTGGGAAGGCGTGGCGGCGGTTGCGGCTGAGCCGTTAATTTGAAATTTGAGCAGCGATCTTTGAGCTTGGTGCAGGGCAAGAGCATGCTGTCAACTGCTTTGTTGGGCGAGGCGAGGGGGGGAGGCGAGCTAGGCGAGGGAGAACCAGTGCATGGGTGAAGGTGAGAAGGCTCTGGGCGAAGTTCAAGAAGGAGAGGAAAAATGAATTTTGCATTTTTCAAATAGATTTTAAAAGCATTTTCAAATAGGTTTTGAATTCATTTGAACTTTGAATCAAGATCAATCATCACAAAATTAGATATGCAGCAGCATGTATGCATCAAAAAGTTTCTAACCTTATTTTTAAATTTTAATTCCACAAAATTTGATTATTTTCCTATATTTTAATGCACACATATTTGCATAAATAAATCATATTTACTAATTTTAAAAGAATGTCATTTTTAGGGTGTTACAATTCTACCCCCCTTAAGATGAATCTTATCCTCGAGATTCGGATGATTGCTTACTCAAACAGTTGGGGATAAGTCTTTCTCAGATCCTCTTCTCTTTCCCAAGTAGCCTCATCCTCTGTATACCAATTCTCTTCAAAATATCCACCTTCCGATGAAGTCCTGACGAATCTTTTGGTCAGAAGAAAATTATTCTACCAATCTTCAAAACATTAATGTTTCTGGCTAAGTTGCTTGAACTGGGAATATAACTCTTAATCCTTGGTGTTGTTCGAATCTTCTTAGCAAAACTCTCTCATGCTAAGGACATCGACAATGACTTTTGCTTCTCCAGGTGATATCACTTTTACCGAACCGAAGAGTACCATTCTCATCCATCCTGAATCCTGGGACCTGTGGGTTATGGGCCCACCACGCTTCCGCTGCGCAATCCAGAACATAGGACACTTCATCTTGCAAATTCTTCCACTTGGCTATCCCCCTTAAGAAAAGATAAACTAGGGGACACCAAGCATAACTTGCACATTCTTATAGATGAGCTAACTAGTATCAAGGCATTCTGTCATCCAATGGATACTCTCGTGTAAGGGCAAGAACAAGAAATCTGAAGTTCCTCACGAGATGAAAAACAGCAGCATAGTAAAATAGCTGTAACTCCCATTCTGTTAATCCAATAAAATTGTAGATTATACCGTTCGAAAGCTCATAAAATTCTCCACAACTTCCTTATAGAACACTTTTCCAAATTCTGCAGTTCACTTGATCGAAAACAGTACACAACAGAAACTGTTCCCGGTTCCAAACAGCACAAATGCATCGCCTTGTGATTTTCGTATCTCCATAACCAAAATAGCTATCAAGCTAATTCTTATGCTCAGAGAAAGATATTGAAGTGTACTATTGTCCAGAATTTTCTCATGATTTTTGGTTGTCCAAGAATAGAGATATAAGCTGAAGAGTGCAGACTGCTCCAATAAGATAGGATAGGGAAAACAGAAGAAACCATAACCCAACTATATATTTCACTAATCCTTATACCTTAGGCCTATAAGATGAATGAAATTGTGGGAACACCCACAAGATCATTGCAATCATTACAAAGATTCAAAACAATCATAAGCATAATGATAAATCAACAAAGCAATAAAGGTGCACAACTCAATCATTAACTCAACTTACGATACTATCGTTCTCATTATACTTGGGATAACAATCCTAAAACTCGTCTTCAGATTACGCAAGAAGGTGATGAGGAACAATTCTAAAAGCATATCAAATCAAGGAGTGAAGATGAGAACAAAGTCTTTAAAATAAGCACCAAGGTAGAGACGAATAGCAAAGATAGAGATATAGTAGAGAAGAAAATATCAAGGTTCATAGAGCAAGGGTTTTTGCAGCAACTTATAAACCTTAAAACGACCAGTTTCTACTAGGCTTGCGTCCTACAGTCAACACTGCTCTGATACCAATTTATCACACCGAATTTTAAGGATAAAATTGAATGCACTAAACTCATATGTGCCCAGGGATCAGTCACACACATAAGTTGACAAATTATAAAAAATATCATCACGGTGTATCTTACATAACGAATAATAGCATCACATTGTCTTACATAACACAACGGAAGATAAAAAGATAACTCTCTCGTGGAACTCCATCACAGGGACGGTCGACTGGTTGACCACAAGCC